GAAAAATGGGGGCAGCTAAAGGTAAAGCAGGTCAACCACTCCTCCCCGCTAGGCTGTAGGCAGGGGAGGAGGGCGCCAAAACGGGGGGAGATGGGGGGTATCAAGGGCTTGTGGGGGGGGGGGGGGGGGGGACCGGCCCCGGGCCCCTCTAGTTGCACTAAGGGAGGGAAGGTCACACTAACAGCAGGGGGTGCAGTGATTAACAAAATGTGATGGGGGGCACAAGCGCAAGGGAGGGGGCATGGGCACACGAGGGGAGGGATCAATCAGGACAAGGTGGGGCGCAAAGGGAGGGGAGCAACTAGGCTGGGAATGGGGCAGAGAAATCAAGGGGCTAATCGCAGGGCTGGGGTGGGACAACCGAACCAAACTGCAGAGGGAAAAGGGCGGGGCAGGCAAACAAACAGAAGCTGGGGAGGGGCAAAAGGCTACAGAGGGCAAATGGGGTAGGCAGCAAGGGGCAGAGCTGGGAGGCCTGTTGCGAAGAGGAAGGGGTCAGTTCAGGGGGGGTAGGTGCGCTCACGAGCACTTGTGCAAAAGTCAATGTGTGGGCTTCCTGCCTGCCGCTGCAGGCCCAAACGATGTCAATAGGGCGTGGCAGGCCAGGAGAGCAGCAGAGTCCCAGAGGCAGGAGCAGAGGCAGATGGTAAATGGGCTGTGGGGGTGGTGGAGGGGGCAACTGTGGTGGTGGGGGTTGTGGGGGGGCACAGATAGACCAGGGGGCAGGCTCCACGCCACACCCCTGTGTCCCCACAAATACAGTCTAGACCCCCACCACTAGAGCACAGTTCGAAAATTACTCAGTCCTGAATGGCCCCCTCCACAGTGGTCTCCAGAGTCCCGTGCGCTCCCCCAGCAGCCGATGGTCTATGTAGTCCTCTTCCTCCACCTCCAGGCTCCAGCAGCTCCCCAGGACACATGCAGCAGCAGCAGCTCCAACAACCCTGGCAGCCAGGCAGGAAAGACCCCCCACAGGTGGTAGTGGTGATGGTGAAGGTGGGGTCCTGGCTTCTCCCTCCAGAGATGGTGGGGAGGGGGGGCTGGCCAGAAAAGGCCCCCCCACCCCTCGCTCAGCAGCAGTGGTAGCAGCAGCAGTCCAGGGAAGGAGCTCCAGCCAGCAGCAGCAGTCCAGGGAAGTAAGGGAAAGGGGAGAGCTCCAGCCAGCAGAGCAGGTGGAGAGAAGAAGGAGAAGGGAGAGCTCCAGCCAGCAGGGCAGCCACAGAGGACACTGAGCACGCTCTGTAGCGGGGTGGCTACCCCGCTCCTGCCTGAGGGGTTTAAAACAGCCCTGGCAGAGGGCTGGGGCAAAGGGAAAAGCTACTGGGCTGATTGGGGAAGTAGCCACAGCTGGGACACCCCAATCAGGCCACAGCTGGCCGGTATAAGAGAGGCTCGGAGCCAGGAGCCCAAACAGTCTCTCTCTGCCTTCAGAAGGGGAAGGGCCTGGCTGCAGGGAGCTAGACACAGAGTACCTGGGTGGAGCAGGGCTGGGGACAGGCTGGGGAACTTCAGCCTGGATAGCCCCAGGCTGCGGCCTAGTATTAGGCCAAGGGGTACTGGGGGTTGCACAGGGCAGCCCAGGGCTAGTCCAAGGCAGCAGGTTCAAACCCAATCTTACCTGTGATGAGTGGCCTATGCTGCAGTCTGCCCCAGGGAGCGGGGGCTAGTTGGTGACTGGCAGTGGCCTTATTCTGAGGTGAGGTAGGGATAGTGGGTGGGGGTTCCCCTGGGAGGGGAGACCTGCGGGTACTGCCAGGGGCAGCACCCAGAGCAAGGGGCACCGGGGTCCTGGGAGGGACACGGGAGCCTGAGGAAGAGGACAGGCGGATCACCAGCCTGCAGAGGGCGCTCCAGAGGCTGGTGAGCTAATTCCCTGGATGACCAGCAGGAGGCGCTGCAGGGGTGAGTCCAGACCTTCTACAGAACATAATGCATCTCATAGCAAAAAACTGTCATATGTCCGAACACAAGTGAACAGTAGGAGTATGTGAGAGACATCACATTCATTGTAATTTTAAGCCCTGAAGTATAAAACTCAACTGTCTTATTTGGAATACACAAAGCAGGGATGCATGTTTGTTGTCTGCTTATATTTGGTTTAGAGAAGGGAAAAATCTCGAAGGGTGTGTCTGTCTTGGCAGTCACCACAGAACCAGAAGTTAGAGATGGAAAAAAAGACTTATTAGGTCATCTTGTCTATCCTTTTGCCAGTGAAGGATTGTTCGCTACAGTATATTTAAGTACTTTGTCCAGTCTAGTTTTTCAAGTCTCAAGCAATAGAGATTCCACCCCTTCCCTGAGGAGATTATTTTTCAATCTAGTAGAGCTCTGCATCAGGAAGTTTTTCCTTATTATTCAGCTTAAATTTTTCCTTTGTTCAGTTTCATTACATTACACCTAAAACGACTCCTCTTGTTGCCTAGATCAGAGGTTCTCAAACTGTGGTCCGTGGACCACCAGTGGTCTGCAAGCTCCATTCAGGTGGTCCACAGATAGTTCCCTCGAAGGTACGCACCTGGGCGGCCCACATGAGAGAATGAAGGGCCACCCACCTAATTAGTGGAGACATGCAGGCGTGGCTCCACTAATTAGGTGCCTGGACCCTGGAGAAGATGCACATGTAAGATGAGGTGGTGCCTTGGGGGGAATAGGGAGTACGTGGGAGGGGGCAGTGGGATGAGAAGAGAGGGTAGGAGGAATTTGGAACGTCCAGGGCTGCGGCGGCCAGAGAAAGAGGCGACTGTCCCCAGCTCCAGGGCTGTGGCTGCCAGGGAGAGACAGCCCTCCTTCCCAGCCCCAGCTTGGGGGCTGCTGCGGCAGGGGAGAGAGGGCACATTCATCGCATTAGAAAGGTAAGACTACTCAGGGCAGGGGGTTGGGATGTAGGAGGGGTGCGGCAGGGGGCTCAGGGTAGCGGGTTGGGGTGTAGGAGGGGTGCGGCGGGGGCTCAGGGCAGGGGGTTGGAGTGCGGGGTGCAGGAGGGTTCAGGGTGCAGGCTCCGGCCCGGCGCCGCTTACCTTGAGCAGCTCTGGGGTGGCAGCAGCGTGCAGCGGGGCCTCAGGGCCGTGGTGCTGGCCGCTTCCGGGAGCGGCAATCCAAAGCCCTGACGGGCCAGATCTGTAGTTTGCCCACCCCTGCTCTAAGACATGCTCTCAACATTACAGGCCCATAAATGGCTACCTTGTGCATTAAACAGGAAAACTAATACAAACAAAACCCACATCTTGTAAACACACAATATTTGACCCCGCACTCACACTTCGATCAATCCACTATACTGTCTATTAAATCTGTATTTCTGATTCTGTTAATACTTCACACTATTTCGGTTGTCTGAGTGCCACTTCCAGCAGTCATTAGCAAAAAAGACTAATGGGAAAACACCACAACCTCCCAATTTAAACTCTAACATTCCCCTGGTAAACAAACCAGCTTAGACACACCTACTATATATGGTTTGCCTTAGCATACATGTTTGCCAGTATAATTCATCAATAAAACTGGCTAGCAGATAACCCTGACAGTGCAAGCGTCACCAGTAGTGTATGTGTTGAAGCTAAGTGTCAGCTATACCAGGGTTGTTGTTTTTCCCATTTTTGATGATTTGTATCACAATACCTTTCTTGTCGGGTAACTATTTCTCCAAGTCTTTTCTTTTCAAACGTTACAAGGTGTGATTTCACTAATTGCAACTCAATTTCTTTTAAGATAATACCCAGATATACTCATTTCTTTAATGTTTTCCAAGCCTTTTTTTTTTTTTTGACTATGCAGTATTTCCAAGGTGCACAATAATTCCTAGTTACACCTTCCTTATCTTCCAAGCTAAAACCAGGCATACAAAAACATTCAATAGGCTCAGTCATTTTTCTCAGACCATATGCTTTTAAAAAAATCTCTGGGTGAATAAAAACTGAATTCATAAATGTTACTGGTAATCTTACTTGATGCTAGAGCTGGTCGAAAATATTCTGAACGAACTGTTTTCCACCCAACAATGTTGATTTCATGGAAACCAGGCACTCTGGCTACCCGGCTTCCCAGGCTTCCACACATGCCTGACTTGAAACTCAGCAGCTAGGGAATGTTGGAGCCTGGGGTGCAGGGATTGGAATTATTCAAACAATCCCATTTTGGTTCTTCTGAAATGCAAGAATTTTTAAGATGTCCCTCCCATGGAAGACTGCACATATCTGACTTTTTGTGCTGATTAGGAATTAAAGTTTTTATTTTATTTTATCTGAGAAATGTGAAGTTTTTCACGGGATGGAAATTCCAGTACCTACACAACCTGCACCAGAACTTGAATTGTAAACATTCAGCTCAGAAGAAATGTATCTATTGTTACATCCTGTTTCATCATCTAGCAAACATATTAAACTCATTTGTTTTAACTGGGAGAATGGTCGTCAATCTTAACTCAAGCAACATAAGCACGAGTCCTTAAGTCCCAACTTTGTGTATTAAAATGTTCTAATTTTCATATTGATGTTTCTGCAGCCAAACAAAGGTATTGTTATATTTATGAGATTGATGTGAATACTTAAACCCGGGGTTAAAAACCAATGTTTACTATCGTTTGTTTTAACTGGTTATGTTGAATGGCTGACTGACCACTGAGTTTATCAGATGGGTGTTTGATTTTTACAAACAATTAGGTGTGCCTACTTGCACCCAATCTGATATTAAAGATTTCAGAGATTTCTTGTTTGTTGTTCTTGCAAGCATCATTTTCACTTTTTGCAGTTGATGCATTGCTTTTTGCTTTCAATATTTTTATGCACAATTGAAAACTCAAATAAAAATCTACTCTAGAAGTTAAGTTAAAAGGAAACACTCCAAATTTAATTTGCAGGGTGTCTGGATTCATTTTTTTCTTCCCAGAGCACTCAGTGTGCCCAGCCCTTCAATGTCAAGTAGGCAATTTAAGGCACCACTGAACAGTGATATAGGTTCAATTGTTTAACAGGATGTGGGTTTAACACGTTTGAAACATTTACCTGTGCTACTTCTTCAAAGTCTTCATGGCGTTTCTGCAAAGCTCTGGCCCGATGCAGGGATTTTCCTACCCCGGTGTGTTTGCTAAGGAAAGCTTCTCCATGATTCTCAATCCAGTCCAATACCTGCAACAAAACAACGACCGCATAAAATATAGCTTCAATGCATGCTTCTCTGTTTTGCTTCCAGAGCCTGCTTCCTGCAGTGGGAGAAATAAAAAGCAATAAAACTAAGCTATCAAAGAAACTGAAGAGCAGTTAGTTATGCAACAATCTATGAAGAACTGTATTGATAGTTCTGATGTTAGTTTCCCCTTTACAAAATTTTAATAAAGCTTTACATTGAAAGCTATGTTAACAGTTACTAAGCCGGTAGCCATCTCAATCTAGCAAGATTATACAGTATATGTTGACAGAGTTCTACCACGGCCCAGTGGACTCCACAGCAAGGACACCCTAAGTTCTACAGCAGGGTCCATGGATTCTGTAGCACTATGATTTGACAGGCTGGAAATTTTGTAGCAATTTAGTTTAAACTCCCGTTTTTAATTAATTGAACACACAGCACAGTATGTATTTTATCTTTGCTGATGTAGAACTGATTTACATACCTTCTACATTTGTATTTATTTATTTTTATAACTACACTGCACCACAAAAGTAATAAGGAGAGTTAGAGGTTTTGGCAGCTGGATAGGGGACAGTTGGGACTTCTGGCACTTAGGGAAATGTTGGGTCTGTTACAGATAAGCACATTAGATTGATGTTTCCACTAATGTAGAATAGTGAAAACATTTAGGTTGGCATTTAAACAGTCATTATTAGGCACTGAGTTAATTTTCTGTAGATGAATGAGGAAGTTCACATTTTTGAAGAGCTATTGTTTCAGGTCCTTTGGAGACTGGCTGTATGTCTACACTGCAATAAGACACCTGTGCCAGCTGACTCGGGCTTGCGGGTCTCCACTGCAGGGTTGTTTAACTGTGCTGCAGATGTTCAGGCTCGGGCTGGAGCCTGAGCTTTGGGACCCTCCTCCCTTGCAGGCTCCTAGAGCCTGGACTCCAGTCTGAGCCCAAATATCTACACTGCAATTAAATAACCCCGCAGCCAAAGGCCTGAGAGCCCAAGCCAGCTGGCAGGAGCCAGCCGCGGATGTTTAATTGCAGTGTAGAGATACCCTAGGAGACAACTGCAACAGTTAACCTTAATGCAAATGGAGTAACCTTCACAACCATATGAGTTTTTTGGTGTTGTTTTTTAAACGAAAGCTTAGACTCTGGGAGCATAATTCTGCACTTTATTTGAGTCACTGAACACAAGGCCTTGAATAATTTAACATTTTTTTCTGTAATAAATCAATAATGGACTTCACATGATCAAAAAGAACATTTTACTGAATAGCACATTTAAGTTCTACTTCTCAAGGGAGTTCCTAGTCTCCTACAGTGTAGTAAAATCAATGGAAGGGTCAGCAATCAAGAAGCCAGTCCTAGGATCCTTGCATATTTTCACTGAAAGGTGTTAATGCTACAAGTTATGTCTGTATTACAAGTTTTAATTAAATAAATGAGGCTCTCAAAGACAAAAATAATCAATTATGGTATTAATAAGCTAGATCTTTAAATCTTACACTACAGTGCCTGCGCCAAGAACTTTGTAAAACTGTGGACTCCATACTGCACAATGGTTTCTACATTTAACAATATTCTCTACAGTGCTACACACATCCTCTTCAAGGGGGTAGAAAAGGGACATCTTGTAGTTAAGTTTCATTCATTTTTTAAATAAGTTCATTACTTTAAATCTTTCAATGAAAATTTAAACAATTAGAAAGACTTCATACAATATTTAATTCTATATAAGCCAAATCATTCCACAAGTCCAAGACTGCTACACAGAACAAGGAGAAACTTCACAGGAGTGATACAATACACATCTTCCAGAATTCAACTTGACCAGGAGGAATCTCTTTTATATATATCCTATACAATACTATGGAACACAGCTTTAGTGATAAGTTTTATTTAAGAGCTGCCTTAGAAGTGCACACCCACAGGTCCCCTAAATACACTTTCTGGTCATTTTTTTTTCTTTATACAGCATTTAAAAGTTATATTTAGTTTTTAAGAGGTGCAGTTATTAACTGGAGACAGTGACAACACTAGTACATATATTTAAGAGCTCTTGATATACTGTATGGATCTACATTTGTGACTTCACTTTATGTACCATTACCGCAATACAAAGTAAGTAAATATAAATATAAATAAATAATTTGTTCATGTGCATTTGTCTTTCCTTTATGTAGAGTTTAAAGCCAAAATTTTATGAAGACAACATTTCAGAATATCTATTTTCTTTATTATAGTAATGATATAAACTAGCATTAGAGCTAGGTGATGGGATGTCTACTTTTAGCTCACCATTTACACAGTTGTGATAGTTTACTATCCTTCCAGATAGCTGCCTACTTTTCAAGTTTTATATAAACTTATGAATTAACCTGAACCCTAAGTAGGCAGCTATCTGGAAAAATAATAAATTACCACAACTGTACTGCTTCTTAAGGCACACCGTCAGCTTAATTAGTAAACATCTGTATTACCGCAGCACCTAGGAGCTAGGACATTGGTCACAAAGCAAATAATGGGCAAAGCAGGAAACCGACTGTGGTAGCATCCAGAATCCCTGCTCTATCCACTACTCAGCTTTCATTCTACGCATTCACTTCCAGAAAAGCATGGTGCTATTCACAACTGTGTGAATATAGCTTGAAACAAAATACAAGTCAGATGCAATAAAAAAGAATTCACCACAATGATTTGTTAAGGCACCTATAACTAAGTTCAATGTGATGGGGTGTTCACCCCCCATCAGCCCTGGAGGGGCCACAGTGGTTCAGAAAGGGCCAATTAACCTTCACAGTTGCACCTGCAGGGAGGCCCTGGCGTTTACAAACACTAATTACAGATGAGGCCCAGCTGGGATAGGTTTATAAAAAGAGGAAGTTTGTTAATAGCGGATGGGACTGCAGTCACTCTCTGGGCCTAGTGAGGAGAGAAGGAGGAAACCCAGAGGGGAACAGAAGCCCTGAGATCCTAATCCTGAGGGAAGGGGTTTACCCAAAAGGGGAGTGGAGAAGAAAGCCAGCAGGGGATAGAATAGGAAGAAGCCCAGGGAAACAGCAGCCAGGGTAGAGACAGTATGGACATTGACTGATGATTATAAGATCCCTGGGCAGGAAACCACAGTAGCAGGCAAGCCCGTGTTCCCCTACCAGCCACCGGGAAGTGGCGCAGGACTGGTGAAGGCGGCACCTGGACAATTGGACTGGCAAGACGTCAATACCCTGGAAGGGGAAAACTATACAGTGAGCCAGCCGGAGGGCTGAATCATGAAGAGAGAGCAGATGAGGCCAGACGAGAGCTGATCCCCAGACCCACCGCCAATGGTGAGTGAACCCTTTTACAGTCTGCTTACCTATATGATCACAATTTAAGCAGTTAACATTTACTCCAGTGAAAGTCTACATTAAGTTATTTTGAGATATTTTGTCTAATTTCTGAAATATACCTGTTTGAATTCTATACATTATCTCACCTTATTTACACAATCTGCCACCTTTACTGACTAAATTGTGTTTTTCACGGCTCTTCACTCCTGTTGGCATCTCTCAGCCACTACAACTATGAGGTGGTGGACTGGGATTCTTTTCTGGCTTGTGCATGACCAACAAATTTTCTTGCTAAAGTTCTAATCCTGTAACTGTATACTCATGGATAATGTGATGCATGTGTATAATTCCAAACTACATTTTTAAATTTAAATGGATTTTTATTTGTTGGTGGTGCATACCTCAGAAGGATCCCTTTCTGACTTTGAGATCTGAGTTGGCAGGACTGGCAGTTAGAAAAAAAAATGCTCAAGTTTGTCAACTGATTTCCAGATCATATTTTCTTGACACACACAATATGCAATCGCATGATGCCACATTCACAGCCACTTAAGATTAGAAACACACTTCAATAAATCACTTTAGGACATGTGTCTGGGGTCCAACAATAAAGAGACAATAGAGAAAAACAATATTGTTGTTGTATAATTTTTTTAGGAAAAATTATCAGATTTACCATTTTTATAGTTTATTCTTGGATTGTCTTTAATTTTGTTCTTTGAAAGCGAAAGGGTTGACTGGAGAAGGTACAGAAAAACGTGTAACTAAGAAACATGGTCATGTCTAGTATGCACATACAATGATTACATTTTCTTCATAATGATTTAATAAAATCCATTTGTAAAATTTGTACTTAAAGGTGGTTGAAACAAAAGACTGCTTTGCTCTCTGGCCTTGAAACACATCTATTAAACACAGACTCTGAAAGTAGTAGAGTTTCTCTTCAGTTTCGTTTAACAGATAAAGAGAACAGTTTTAAACCTTACTGGAAAGCTAGGCTTGGCAGAATTTGTTTTTGTTTGTTTTTAATAATTTTGACATATTAGTATTTTAAAGCTTTTTTTATTTTTATCAATATAAATTTTCAGTTGTGGGAAATCAGGGGGCCAGATCAGACAATAATTATTTAATGACAGTAGACACAGATTCTAAAAGTTAATGCTTTATAACTGTTAAAACAGTCATCATACACATGTAAAAATATAAACAAATTATCCTTAAATCAAACCCCCATAAGTTCTCAAGCAGCATTTTTGTTACTTTGCCTAGCTGTAAATTTCAATTATTGTTAATGGAAATTTTTCTTCATTTGGGGTGGGTGTGTGTGTGGGGGTGGGTGGGTGTGTGTGTGTGTGTGTGTCAAAATCAAGGTTTACTGACATTACTGATTAAAAAAAAATCTAACCCTTTCAATCCTAACTCCAGTTAATATCCTGTAATAAATACCCTCTTGGACACACAACCACAAGCCAAACTTTGAATTTACAATAGCTCATACTTTCTAATTATTTCAAGATTTGTATCTTTAGCAACAATAACAAAACAGTTCCTACTTGAGAAATCTCAATGACAATTTCAAGACCATACAACTTCAGAAAAATGATGCATTAAGCGGAAAGCAGTTGGGTGGTTGCCTGTCTTATGCAGAAGTTCATGTTTTGATCTATATTAA